TCTATGCCAAATAGTTCACTGCACCTCTAAAAATTGCTTTACTCTTTTAGAGTAATCTGAAAGATCCCTGGACTGCAGTCAACTTAATATCACACATATCTGGATCTTCAAAGCATTCTCTTTGGCTCAACATAGCAACAGAAGCGTAACTATTAGTGGTTATTTCAACCTTGAGGTAATTTGATGCCCTGCTACCCCACCCACTAAGCAAATAAACTGACTTTGATGTCCCTTTAATATGTCACAGAAGAGAAAAATAAAAACCTTGTATTTAACACTGTGAAAGAGATTATTCTAAAGATCATAATTTTCAAATGAATACTAAGATTAAATATTATATTCGTAGTCTATTCTTTCAGCTCCTTGCTGTATCTGAAGTCTAGCATCTCCATTGACAGAGATGACTTCTCAAGGCATTTCCCTACAAATAGAGAAATCTTTTTTTTATTATAGCCGGTTATTCCAAAGATACTCACTAGGATGGACTTGGTCATGGTGGCCATCTGCCCTGCCAGGCTCAAACCCAAATCACAGTTTAACATCTATGTAATATTTAATGAGAGATGAGGAGTTGCAATGCAGTGTCACTGGAACTGGTAAATCATTCTCCAGCTTCAGCTAGACTTTAAAGGGATGCAGTAAGAACTGAGACTACTGCTCTGTATGTGAGAGTATTTATTTTGCAGCTGAGAGTGTTTGAGCAGGAAACTTTACTTTTCAGTTTACTTGCTCCCCAACCTGAATATTCCAATCCTACCACCAATTTCAAGGCCACTTATGTCTGTGTGAGGAGGTGGAACTCACCTTGACAATTAGGTCCTTTGCTATTTTAATGGTAATGGGACTGAGGTAAATATATGGAATATAGGAACACTTTAATGGAATATAGGAACACTTTAATGTTTATTTAGGCAAAACATCACAGCAGATATGATAATTCTAGTGTAAACCATTGATAGCAACATGTGCTCTCACTGGAATATAAACACAGTGATTCTTTTATTGTCTTAATCCATAAAATTTAATGTGTATGAGCAAGCAATCCTTGCATGTCAGTCTCAACTCTCGTCTTAGAGATGCTAGATATATTTTCAAGTTAAATAATGAAAATGTAGCTTGGTACCTGTTTTAGTCTGCATTTCCTTTGTTTATTCCTAAGACTACATGAATCATATATTGTATTCAAAAAAGCTTATTCAAAGAACTCATTTAAATAAAGATCAATTTGCAAATTGTACCAATGACTCTGTACAGACACATAGATATGTACATAGACGTAAAAAATAGAAAACACAGGAAAATATCCACTTAAAACGTTTGAAAAATAATAGGATTTGGAAAACATTAAGACATCTGGGTGTACAGCACATGTAAACCATTTTGTGGTGAAACCAGAACTGATGAATTGCACATTCAGTGATATCAGCTACACTATAACAAAATCTGCTCTTTCCTTTTCAACAACAGGCTTTGGTTAAAAAAACCCAAACATAAAAACCCATTTCATGCCTTAAGAAAATTTGTGTACAGAACAATAGCAGTTACAGCATGTGGATTTAAATGAGCTACCATAAAAAAACCATCTTAACAGAAGCAGAATTGCAATACACCTATTATTGATCATCTTAATACTGAAGACATCTGGCTGTATTTTGCATCTACTACTAATAATGACATGATATTGTATCCTTCAGCTTTAAGGCTGTGCAGCCCTGGAATTCCAAACCCAAGA